TATTATCATTACCTGCACAACATAGAGGAAATAAGCTGTGTAAATGGTCAGTATTGTTTATCTCTTCCAATGGCCTTTTTGTATTGAGGAAGCCATCATGAAAAGGGAAGTGATTCTCATTGAACACAACATGTCTTGAGATAAAAATTCTTCCATGGGAGTTGAGACATTTATAACCTTTGTGAGAGTTACTGTAGCCCATAAAAACACATATTATGGTGTGGAATTTCATTTTATGTTGATTGTATGGTCTGAGACAGGGATAATAGGAACATCCAAAAGGTTTCAAGGCTTTATAGTCAGGTTCCTTTTTGGTGATTAGGGTGTAGGGACTTTTATTGACATTTTTTGTTGAAGGTAACCTGTTGATCAAGTAGACTGCAGTTGAGAAAGCATCCCACCAGAAGGATATTGGCATTTTGGCTTGAGCAAGTAGAGTTAGGCCAAGCTCAACAATATGTCTATGTTTTCTTCCAGTTCTACCATTTTGTTGGGATGTGTAAGGACAAGACATTATAAATTGTATGCCTGCTTCTAATGCTTGTTTCTGAATTAATTTGAAATCACCACCACCATCACATTGGATAGTCTTTATCTTTTTGTTCAATTGATTTTCCACAAAGTTTTAAATTGAGAAAAAGCATGTATGGTTTCAGATTTATGTTTCAAGGGAAAGATCCCAGTAAATCTGCTACAGTCATCTATGAAATGGACATAATAGTTAAAACCAGAAGTGGAATCTATTGAGGAAGGACCCCATACATCAGTGTGAATCAATCTAATGGCTCAAGGGCATGTGAGCTAGAAGACATAAATGGTAACAGATGCATCTTCCCAAACTGACAAGATTCACAGAAGGTAGGGTGGTCACTATCACTAGGTGGTATCTTGATCTTGCAGTTCTTCAAGACTTTGTCTAGCACTTTATTGTTGGGATGTCCAAGTTTTCTATGCCAACTTTCCTTGACTGAAATGTAGGCACAGGGGTCATTGGACTTATTATCTGAGCCTGTGAGTTGGTGCAATCCATCTTTAAGTCTCCATCTTAGGAGTGCCTTCCCTATCATTTTTTCCTTCACAAAGCAGCAATCAGCATCAAACTCAACAGTGATGTCATTATCATGAGTTAGTTTTGATATACTAAGCATATTTTTGGTAATGTTTGGTACATACAACATGTTATGCCAATTTAAGTGAATTAAGATTGGATGAACCTGTTCCAATAATATCTAGCTTAGCACCATTTCTAACAACAAGAGAATTCTTACCATTATGCTCAGTTAAATCTTGAAACTTGTTTGTTTGATGTGTGACATGATTGCTTGCACCACTGTCAAAGTACCAATCATAGTCTTATGCATAGTGAGGTGAGGCTAGATATGCACTGGGTGGATCACTTTTGTTTGCATCAGTTGATGAGTTTGAGTAAGATTTGTCAAACCTGTGAAAGCAATTCATTGCTATATGACCTGTCTTGTTGCACACTTGACATGTTGGTTTGAACATTCTTCCTCTGCTTATGCCTTCTCTATGGTTTTTGAAATTGGAAGCTCTCCAATTTGAGTTCTATGTGTTTGAGTTGAACTTGTTGCCTTTGTATTCAGTTTTGTTGGCTACATTTGCAGAAGCATTGAGAGACATACTTGTGAGTTATTAAGTTGATTGAGCCTGCTTTCAAAGGCTAAGAGTTGAGCTTGTAGATCAACCCAGGTGAGTGATGATTGATCTGAGAGTTTGACTACTATAGGGTTGTAGTCAGAGTCCAAACCATTCAAGATTTGAATGATTAGATCCAAGAGTGTGACTAGATTACCTGCAAGCTTCAGTTGGTCAGTTAGATTTTTTCATCTTAGTCAAATACTCCTCCATTTTTAGATTTCCTTTTTCTTGTACCATGAAATTCAGATTTCAAGTATGTGATTTGAGATTTGGATCGAGCCCCTGCCAAACTTTGAGCCTCATCCCAAAGTTGTTTGGAGCTTTCACAGTGCCTCAATTGTGTTGTAATGTCAGTGGTCATTGAATTTAATAACCACCTAAGCATCATTTGATCATCTGTTATCCATTCTTCAAAGTCTGGATTTTTGGTCTTGTTTGAATCATCAGTGATGATGAACTCTTGAGGGCATTCCTTTGTTCCTAGAATGTAGCCATCTAGTTTACAGCCCCTAATGACAGGTAAAAATAGTGATCTCCACAAGGGAAAATTATTTCTGTCCAGCTTGACAGAAACTGATGTTGGTAGATCATTTTTCTTTGATTTTGCAGCGATTGTCATTTTGGGGTTTTAGTGGATCGAGAGCTTTCAGAGCTTAAAGCTCTGATACCAAGTTAGAAATATGAATTGAATGGTTTTTATATATATGTTCTTATTACAAGATGATGTACTTATACACAAGAGAGAGGATCATTTTGTGATCTTGAATAAAGGATACTTAATATACAAGTACTAATATGGAAACAAATAAAGTCCAAATCAAATATTCTAATTACATATGTTTTGTATGGTTAATGTCATTAAGTGACTTGTCTAACAATACACTCCTCACCAACTTAAACCTATCGACCAACTATAATCAACCTACAATATTCATCAACATCATCACGTATCGCTCACACCCTAAGTCATTTCTAACCCAAAGTAGAGAGTCTGATTGTATCATCTCGGAGGCGATCTTTTAACTAACTTTAACAACACAAAAGACAACAGTGTTACTTGCGTTGACGATCTCTCAGCACAACACAACCAACACAAAGACATTAAACTCAGACACCCAAGTGAATAATAGCTCTAAATCTATCTCAAGAATCTAGACACTATCAGATAATCGTCTTAGATAAGAATTCGAGCAGTATATGTCTATAACAACCCAAACCCCAAGCACAAAGCAAAAATCTAGGATAATAATGGACAAAGATTTGTAAAGCAAGTTTTATATAACGCCATGGGCAAAAAATAAACATGGTTTCAAAGTAAATACATATACAAACTCAACAAATGAAGAATACACAGAGAAGAAGAGAAATGAACCACAAATCTCTCGGTTTGTCAATGTCGATCGATGAGAAATTCACCTCTGATCATCCGTATGCAAGCTTCAATGTTGTTTTCTAAATTAATCCTAATGAAAAATGAGATTGATGGGGTTGGGAGAACAAAAACTACCCCCTAAAACCTTAACCCTAACAAATAAAATGAAATGGAAATATAAATAAAATTTGGTTTAGACACCGTCGCCAAACGACCACATGCGTCGTCCGACGACGACCTTTATTTACTTGGCCCAACCTACACCACACACGCAACTGGCCACAAAAATCTTTCCTCGTCCAGCGAAGGGAAGTTTCACCTTAAAAATTTAAATAGCACGTTGAAGAGGTTAACAACACGACTAGTTTGAAGTTTGAGTCATAGAAAGAAACTATAGGATACAAAGGATCTAAAGGTGCTTATTGCAAAATTCAGGTAAATACTTCCAAAATACTAACTCAATATAGGTTCATGAACTCTTTTCATGGAGTCTGGAATCAAAGAAAACTATCCGAACATAGAACATAACATTTTGTCAACAAGTCTTGGTCTTCCATAAACCTTGATCATTAATTCCAATTACTTTTTCTTTGAATAACTTGTGTTATTTGTTATAAGTGACAACCAGCTCAAACAGTCATAGAAAACTACCTCAAAATGTTTAATGAAGTTGATAAAGGTATAAATTCAAACCTTAAATTGCAAGAGGCCAAAAGTTGTAAAAAAAAAAATCGAGTTATTCCACAATTGATTTAACAAAACGATTCAGCCACACCTAATAGCTTGAAGTTATTACGGGTCTGAAACAATCAAATGCATGAACAAGTACCGACAACTAAATAATAACTAACTGCAGAATGAAGAAGATGAATTGCAAGATGTCGAAAATGATAACAAGCAGAAAAAATAGTATGCCATCAATTCATCAGAATCAGTCAAATGTGTTACTTTAAATAAATTTAAATTAAAATCAAACTTGTCAAACAAATCAATGGTTATGATTATTTGCTGGTATCAAATTTTTTTCCAGTGCATTTCAATTAAATCCTTAATATAATTTCATTCAAAATATGAGTTTTAAGATATGTTTTTTCAAAAATATTAAATATATTAATTTTATTATAAAACTATTTTCAAAATCTTAAAATTTTAAATAATTATAAATTATAAATAAACATAATAAATTTTAGTTTT